GGTTGCTATGAGTCGGAACCGACTCCAAGGAACGGAACAACAACAATGTTTGTAAATTTCAGTGATCTTTTTAACTTGGCTTTTTATTATCCTACAAATAGTATTTTTAAAGTATCTTTGATGTCATAAAATACTGAGATTGGAGGAGAACCTAGGAAAACGATTTAAACTAGAACAGTGACAGTAATCTTAGCAAAGGTATAGTGACTTCATTATTTATTAGTGGTTTTTTAGAAGTAAGATGGAGAGAGAGCTGAGTATTAGAGCTGATTGTTGTGGTTCGAGTCAGTTCAAGGAATTCTATAGCTAATTAATGGAGTCCTGGTATGGCGCTGCAGGATAATGCACTGGACTGCAAGGTTAGTTTGAGCCTCAAGGACAGTGGTTCAAACTCACTAGCCGCTCCTCGGAAACCCTATAAATGGTCACTATGAGTCAGAAACAACAATAGCTAATTAAAAACTGGTAAGAGTGGAGGGCGTAAGTGGGTGGTTTTGAACGCGGGAAAAGATCTGAGATGAACATAAAAGCAGTGATCTAGCATGAAAAGAAGGACAAAAATATGAGTCTAACCATGAATGTAGTTTTAACTCCCCACAACATTGTTCAGAGATAAGTATTCATACCTCCTTTTTCCACAGGAGAAACTCTTGCTCCTTGAGGTTAAGTATATTGCCTGAAATGTCGCCCAGGAAGAGGGGAAGCCAAGATTTGAGTTTCAATTTTCTGTTTCTAAAGAATCATGCTTAGAAGTAACAGTTTTTTAAACATTGTTTACTGTTTAATCTTGTTTGAAAGTGAGAAAGCTTGTAAAAGGGAAGACAGTAATAAAAATGACTTTACAATAATTTTTTTCCATAAAATTCCAAAAATCCTCATAAGACCCCTTTTGAGAATCTAGTGAAGTTTTTGAACATTTCCCTAACTCCAAACTGCAATTACAAATATATATGTATACAATTTAAAAAAGTTAATTTCATCAGGTTGATGGTTAAACTAAATGACAATTTTAGTGTATCTGTTAATATTAATAAGTATAGCATTAAACATTGTACCTAGAAAATGCAAAGTATTATATAATTGGATTGTTGTGGTTTTTTTTGAAAATTTATTTGTCTTATTGAAAAGACTGAAAAAGATGTGAAGAGAAATATGCTAGCAGTTCCTTTGGTTTGTGTATTGTTTTGTAACGTGAGTATGTCTTTTCAATTTTGCAGAAGATTTAAAGCCTCAGAAACCCTATAAAGGGCTGCTGTGAGTCAGAACCAACTTGATGGTATTTAACAACAATCATTCTAAGGGCTTTCTTGTGTTTATAGTTTAATGATGTTTGTATTTTATAAGAGCAATCTATTGAGAGCAAGGATTACACCTTGTTAATTTTGGTACCTGCCTTGGTGAATGGGAATGTATGGATTTATTGTCCCTAAATCTTTGTTGAGTGAAGAAAGATTAAGTGCTATCTTGGGCTCAAGTGCAGTGGCTCCATATGATATGAACTATAAGCCACAAGGTACGCAGTTTGTCCCTGTCAGCCTCTCCACTAGAGAAAGATGAGGCTTTCTGCTCCCTTGAAGATGGTAAACTTCGGAAGCCCTATAAAGGGTCACTGTGAGTTGGAACTGACTCGACAGTGCTTAACAGCAACAACAATCTTGTGTTCAGTTTGTTCATCATCATTTATTAACACCACTACTCTGACATAAAACATTAAGAAATGTGAAATCATTTATTAGTAGGAGATATTTTGCTAAGATTTTTTTTAAAGTAAATCATAAACATACAGCGAAAGAAGTGAAAAAGTAAACTCTACTTAAAAAACAAAAAAACAAAATGTGACATACGCTACATTCATGGGCTTTTGGCCTAAAGTGATTTCTAGGCAATTTTCACTAAAATACTTTCTACCAACATATGGTTTCATCAACAGAATGAAACCTCAAGTAATTTTACACTACAGTTTGTCTAAAAGGGTTCAATTTCTAGGTGATCTGACTGATTGCAATATACAGAATTGAAAAGGCATACACATAGTACAATTGTCCAAAGGTGATAATAGGAAAATAATATACAAAACAATGGAACTGTCAGCTTATGTTTTTACATTTTTCAATCTTTTCAATGATCTGATTTCAAGTTCCCCCTGTTTCTGTAAGAAAAATTTCATAGTATAAAAACTGTTATATTTTCCCAGTTCCTTTCCATAGATAATAATTTAATTTCATATCGGGTCATTACTCATAAATACAAAATTTTTTTTTTTTTTCTGTTTTTCAGGTCCTTGTCTGTCTTGATGGTCAGCACATCTTCTTTAATATCACAACATTTTCGAGAAAAGCTAGTAACCAAAACAGAACTTCTTTTTGACACTATAGATTCTTCCAAGGTCAACATTTCAAGAAGAATAGTACAGTTTCTTCGGAATGTTAAATATAGTCATTACCCACTATTAGAAAAGTGCAATAAAGTATTTTTAAGCAATATGAATCACCTTGATTTGGATTCCATCGGTAAAATACTTAGTCTATATCAGTCTCTACAGTTTCATAGTTTTGAGTTTTCTAGGATGGCCAAAAGGAAACTAACTGAAATGATTCCATTGTATGATGACCCTGCTAGCTTTGTGAAATTGTTTGTTGCCCTGGGACCCATGGCAGTACCTGAAGAAAAGGAACAGTAAGTTCAGCTAAAAATATTTTAACTTTTATTTTGGGGCTATATGGACTCTTCGTGGTTAGGTCTCCTTGAAGTTCTGTTGTGTTGTTAAGTGCCATTTTGTAGGTTCTGACTCATAGTGACCCTGTCTAGGATTTCTGAGGAGCAGCTGGTAGGTTTGAACTACCAGTCTTGTGGTTCAAACCAACCTTGTGGTCCTATGCATAATCCTGCACTGCTATACCGGGACTCCTTGACATTCTGTAGTTACGTGCTGTTGAGTTGTTTCTGACTCATATTTACTCTATAGGGTCTGATGATGATGAGCTGGTAGGTTTGAACTGTTGATCTTGTAGGTCACAGTGCAGTGCTGATTCTACAGCACCACACCAGGAGTCCTGGAAGTTCTGGTGTTGTTAAGTGCCATCAAATTGGTTCTGACTCACAGCGACCCAGTATAGGGTCTGAGGAGTTACTGGTGGGTTTGAACTAGAGACTTGGTTGTTCACACTCACCTTGTGGTTCAGTGCTTATCCTACAGCTCACAAAGGCTCAAAATCACCCCATCAGACTTGATAACCTCTTCGGTTTTCTTCCTTGGTTCTTACTCTGTTTTGCATCTCAACTCTTGGCTTATTGTGCTTTAAAAGGAGTCCCTGGGTAGGGCTGAACAGTAGTAATTCCAATCCACTCAGAGGTGCCATTTAAGAGAGTCCCTGTAATTTACTTCCAAAAGTTCACAGCCATGAAGATCTATGTAACACAGTTCTACTCTGATGCACACGGGGCTGTCATGTGTTAAAATTCACTCAGTGGTAACAGGTATGCATCAAAAGATGGCCAGTAACCCGCTGTTGCTCGCAACTCAGAGAGAGGAGGAGGGAGAACGCCATGAAGTACTTTCATTGTATACTTCTACACCTTGTACCTGTATTTATGCACTGGCATAAACTCAGAATTCTAGTATTCTTTACATAACTTGGACTCAACTTGATGGGTGAGTTTGGTTTGGTTTGAACTCAGACCGTTTTACTCTTTGTTGTCTTCATCACATTCATCATCAAAGGCATTTGTTATATGAATTGGAATAAGTTCCCATGCCAGTTTTGAGTGGATTTGATCTGGCTCCTATCTTTTAAGTATCCAGTTTAGCCAGATGCTGATATAGATAGAAATCTTTGGGGTATCCAGATGAGCAAATAGGCATGAGCAATCAAATATGATTACTAGGTTCATACTACTAAGCAAGAGCTCCAGGAGTTGTGTGATAGAGGATTAAGCATCATTAGAGAATGAGTCTAGGAGAAAAATACCATGAAGAAAGTTTTCTTTCTTTCTTTCTTTTTTTTAAGTTTTTATTATGAATTGAGTGATAGTTTACATGGGAGAATATCGGTTTTACACCATTGTTTCATTGCAATGATTACAATCTCCTCCATGCATCATCATTCAACAGTATTTGCTTCTATTCCCTCTTTTCTTTGGTGGGGGTGGGGGATGTATACAGAACACTCAGAAATATATAATAATTTAAACAAACAAAGGACACATTCTGCAAGCCTACCTCCTGGCTGCCAACACTCAGTCTTTCTCTTTCCATGAGTCTAGAGTCCACAGCTGCTCCTTCTCTCCATGTCCTCATCTATGCCTCCATCTCTGGTGTCGCTGCTTCTATTGATACGGCCCCACCTTCCACTTGTGTGTTTCTCCCTTGATATTCCTAGGGTCCTTTGTTTCTGGACTGTAAGATTACTCTCTGTTTTTGTTGAAAGTTTTCTTTTTAAGAGTTTTTTTAATTATATGAAGAAATTTAAGATTGTAAAGGACTATATTAAAATGGAACCAAGATGATTAAATCAAAATCTTAGGAATCTCATTCAAAAAATTTTTCAGCAAATATTGTTAAAAATCTTATGCTAAGTAAGGCAGTATAGAAGTTGGACTTAGCAGTGTCTCTGCCTTCAAGGAGTTTTATAGTTGGAAGGATAGGAACATAATATATCACTGCCTTTGAGTCGATTCTCAAGGACTGTCCCATCAGGTTTCCAAGGCTGTAAACCTTTATAGAAGTAGACTGTCACATCTTTCTCCTCCAGATTTCCTGGTAGGGTTGAGCTGCTGACCTTTTGGTTAGCAGCCAAACCTACTTAACCACTGTGCCACTGTTGTTGTTAAGTGCTGTTAAGTTGATTCTGACCCATAGCGACCCTGTATAGGGTTTCCATGGTACAGTTGGTGAGCTTGAACCAATGACCTTGCAGTTCAAACGACTTTACAGTCAGAGGCATTAGCCCACAGGGCCATACCAGGACTCCACTGTGCTACTAGAGCTTCAGAAATATACAAATATGTAAATATTAGAACATAAGTTTTAAGTACTGAAATCAATGACATAGTAATTGCTATGGGCAGGCAGAGAAGTAATGGAGACCTAAATGGTTGTTGAAAAAGCCTCTGGGAAAAGCTGGGTTTGAAACCTTTGATAAGAGTAGATGAACAGAATGGTATGGAGTTCTTCAGGATGCATAGAAAGATAGTTTTATCTTGCTTATGTTTTGAACCAACTTTCTAAATAATTCTAAATGACATTTATTATAGCAAGAGTTTTGTTTTTGTTGATGTTAAGTATCATCAAGTTGTTTCCAACTCATAATGTAAGGTTTCTGAGGCTGTAAATCTTTGTGGGAGCTGAAAGCTTTATCTTTCTCCCTTTGAGCATCTGGGTGGCTTGAACCGGCAACCTTGTGGTTGACAGTCCAGTGCTTATCCTATGGAGACACCATGTACCGAGTTTAGTGTGTAAGTGTTCTGTTGTGCAGGTAAAATAAGCATATTGGCTTACTGGTCAATTATTTTAAGACATTCTTAGAATATCATATCTTAAATAAGTATTAAAAGTTTTAATTAAATCATTGTATGTCTGTTGTAAATATCAGAACCTTATGTTGTTTGAAAGTCTCTTATTAAATAAAACATTTTATCTGATAAAACATTTTAAAATAGGTTGTACTAAGGCCCTAATTGCCTTGAAGAAAATTTCACATATTATTGTAAAAATAATATGAGAAGACATTAAGAGGTTTATAGAAAATTCGATGATCTTTTAATTCCATTTCCACAAACATTTTGAAACCACTCATATTTTATATTATCCTTTGATTATATGCAGAGATCATTGGAATTACATATTGAATTCAATTTTTGTTTACTGTTTTCTGTGCAACTGTTTTTGTTTTTTTAGATTGCTTTTTAATTCTTTTTCTCATTACCAGCTTTTCAGTATATACATAATCTTTCTTTGCTTTTAGACTTGAATCAACCCTGTTGTTGATGTCAGAGGAGCTAAACAGCCAACAAGCCCTGGCAGTGCTGGGAGCAATGGAAGATATGGAAAATAGAAATTCACGCCTGATTAAAAAGTAGCCTTTTCTTAAATTTATGGTGTTAAGTTTGAGTTGTCATTTATATGTATCTATTTCTTTTTAGAAAAAAATTAAGGTTCATTTTTATAATCTCATTGTTTGCAAAGACGTGAGTTCTTAACACTAGTTATTGCTTAATTATTTTCTAACTTGTTTTTAAAAATAGAGATACAAAAATTATGACTGGCATCTTTCCTTTCATTTGCTGCTCTTGTACCCAAACAGAGCATCATAATCTAAGAAAATGGAAAGCATAGAACAAGGAACTTACTTTGCAAAAGGACAGTTTCTGCAGACCAGTTAACATCCACGTGAACTAAATTGTTTCAAACCACAGTTGTGCCCTTGAAATCAGAATGCCATATTTTGAACCCTATTTCATTCACTTGTCCTTGATAGCTGTTATCTCATTATATTTTAATAGTTTACATTTATTTAATCATTTTATTTATTGCTCTTTCTCTAGTACATAGAATATTGTTAGCAAAAGCTCCTCAGTACATGTCTAATAATCATAAATGAGTGAATTGGTTATAATATGTATTTTATTATTCTTTTTTAGAATTGCTTCAGTTGTGTATAAACACTTGGATAGTTATAAACCACTAGACTTATTGAAGATAATTCAAGCACTGATTTTTCTGCGTTTTCAAAGTAAAGACATTTTCGGGAAACTCAGAGAATTACTGCTTAGGTAAGATTAGATGAGAAGTATTTATTTAATTTTTCATTGTATAGCCTCAACATTTGTTTTGTTTAATTGGATACAGAGGTAGCTGGAACATTGTGGAGGAAGAATCACTTAGCTTATTATTAAAAATACAAGGTACGTCTCTGTCCATGCCCATCCTACCAATACCCATGTCTGGTATATAATGGAAATGAGGCTAAGGGCACTTAATCTGAGCGATGATATTTGCAACACAACGTGCAATATGCATATAAACAACCTTGCTTGCTCAAAATGAAGAGACTTTGAAGCACTTACTGATGAAAATCAAAGAATACAGTCTTCAGTATGGATTGCACCTCAGTGTAAGGAAAACAAAATTCTTTACAACTGAACTAGAAAAGATTGAAGTTGTCAAAGACTTCATTCTGCTTGGATCCACAGTTAACACTCCTGAATGCAGCAGTCCAGAAATCAAACGATTTCACTTGATTTGCAGATCTGCTGCACAAGACCTCTTTAAAGTGTTCAACAGCAAGAATGTCTGTTTGAGGACTAAGGTGCATCTAACCCAGGCCATGGTATTTTCAGTCACCTCCTACGCATGTGAAAGTTGTACAGTGAAGTTGTACATTGACTCGAGAAGAGTCAGTGCATCTGAATTATGGTGTCGGAGAATATTAAAAGTACTGTGAACTGCCAGAAGAACATACCAATCCATCTTGGAAGAAGTCCAGACAGAATGCTCTTTAGAAGTCAGGATGGTGAGACTTCATCTCTCATACTTTGAGTATGCTATCAGGAGGGGCCAGTCCTTGGAGAAGGACATCATGCTTGGTAAAGTGGATAGTTTTTGAAAAAGAGGAAGATCTCCAACAAGATGGATTGATGCAGCAGCAGCAACAACAACAATGGACTCGTGCTTAACAATAATTGTGAGGATGGTGCAGGATGTTGCAGTCTTTCATTTTGTTGTGCATGTTGTTGTTGTTAAGTGCTGTCGAGTCGGTTCTGTTGTGCATAAGATCGCTATAAGTCAGAACTGACTCAAAGGCACCGAACAATAATAACAGCATGCTACTTCTATTTTTAGTTACTAAAGAACCTCCAAACCATCTTTCACAATGGCTGTATCATTTTGCATCCCTACCCGCAATGGGTAATGATTCTTATTTTCCCACATCCTCTCCAACACTTGTTATTTTCTGGATTTTGCGTATCTTATCTTGTTTATTCTAATAGAAGTGAAATGATATCTTGTGGTTTTGATTTGAATCTCTCTGAAGGCTAATGACAGTTGGGTATCTTCTGTTTGAATTTGAATACCCTATTTGGTTAAATATCTACTCAAGTCTTTTGCCCATTTTATGATTGGGTTATTTGTCTTTTGTTGGTAAGTTGTTGAAGTTTTATATGTTTTTTGGCTATAAGGTTCTTGTAGGATATATTGGTCCTAAGATATTCGCCCAGTTAGAGCTGCCTTTTCACTTTTTTGGTAAAGTCTTCTAATGAACAAACATTTTTAATTTTTCTGAGGGCCCACTTATTTATTTTGTCTTCTACTGCTTGTACTTTTGCTATATTATAGAATCCATTTTTGAAAGCTAGACCTGACATTGTCCCTGCCTGTTCTTCTAAGAATTTTATGATTTTAGTTTATACAATTAAGGCGTTAACCATTTTTGAATTTGGATCCTATTTTGTTTTTCAGCATATGTACATTCATGACCCTAAATCTCCAAACCTTCTTTCCCCATTGAATGGACATAGTACACTTGTCAAAAATCAGTTGATCATGGATGTGTGGGTTTGTTTTTGGACTCTCAATTCTGTTCCATTGCTTTATGAGATTTCTATTGTTAATACTAGTACAAGGCTGTTTTGATTACTTTAGCTGTATCTTGTGATTGTTGTTAAAAGCCATTGAGTTAGTTCATAGTGACCCTATAAGGTTTTCTAGTAGTGATCAATGGATTTGGACCTCTGACCTTGTGGTTAGCAGTTCAGTTCAGTGCTTATCCTACATCGCCACACCAGGACCCTAGCATAGTATATTCTAAAATCAGGAAACATTTCTTCACCTATTCAGGACATCTTCCCATTTCCATATTAAATTGAGAATTGGTTTTTCTATTTCTGTCAAGAGGCTGTTGAAATTTTTATCAGGATTGTGTTGAATCTGTAGATTGCTTGGGTAGTATTGACTTCTGAATATTATTAAGTTTTTCAATTCATGAACATGAACCATCTTTCTATTTATTTAAGTTTTCTTTATTCTGTTTCAGCAGTGTTTTTTAGTTTTCATTGTTTAAATCAGTCATGTCAATAAAGCAATACCTCATGAACAAGTGGGATTCATATCATGTACATAGGGATGGTTCAGTATTAGAGAAACAATGTAATTCACCACATAAGGAAAACAATCACATGATCATGTCAGTTGATGCAGAAAAGGCATTTGACAAGATCCAACACTCATTTCTGATAAAAACATACAACAAAATAGGAATAGAAGGGAAATTCCTTAACATAACTGAGGGCATATATACAAAACCAACAGCCCAAATCACTCTATGGTGAGAAAGTAAAATAATTTCCCTTGACAACAGAAAGCAGACAAGAATGTCCATCACTGGTATGGTGCTGTAGGATTAGCAGACCACAAAGTTGGTGGTTCAAATGCACCACTCACTGCTTGGAAGTCCTATAGAGGTTCCCTGTGAGTCAGAACTGAATCTAATGGCACTTAACAACAACAACAACATTCAATATTGTGTTGGAGTCTTAGCCAGAGATATAAGGCAAGAAAGAGAAATTAAAGGCATCCAAATTGGCAAAGAAGTAAAAATCTTTATCTGCAGACGATATGATCCTTTGCTTAGAAAATCCTAATGACTCTGCAAGAAAATTATTATAATTCATCTATAGATTTTGCAAAATGGCAGTGTTTAAGATCAACATACAAAAATCATTTGGATTCCTTTACACTAATTAAGAGAGAGCTGGAAAAGAAATCAGGAAAACAATACCATTTACAATAGGCACACAAAAGGTGAAATACTTGGGAATAAATCTAACCAGTGAAACAAAAGACGTATACAAAGACAATTACAAAAAGCTACTGTAAGAAACCAAAGGAGACCTGCAGAAAATAAGGAATGTATATTGCTCATGGATCGGAAGATAGCGTGGTGAAAATATCTACATTATCCAAAGTAACCTATATATTTATATAATGCTATCCCAATCCAGATTCCAACATCATTCTTTAAACAGATGGAAAAACTCATCACTAACTTTATATGGAAAGGAAAGAGACCCTGGATAAACAAAACATTAATCAAAAAGAAGAGCAAAGTAGGAGGCCTCTCACTTCCCAACCTCAAAACCTACTGCACATCTACAAAAGTCAAAACAGCCTGGTATTGGTACAATGAAAGACATATAAATCAATGGAACAGAATTGAGAGCCCAAAAGCAAATCTATCTACCTAATGGTCAGTTGATCTTTGACTACCTAAAAATTAGATACTATGTGCATCATAGTATTTCACCAAAAGATTAAAAAGAGATTCATTCCACAGACTGGGAAAAATGCTTGTCAGCTAATATCAGATAAAGGAATATTTTCCAAAATTTATAGAACACTTCAACAAAAGAAGACAATCCAATTTAAAAATGAACAGAGGACATGAGCAGATACTTTACCAAAGAAGAAATTCAGGTGGTCAACAAACATGAAGAAATGCTCACGATCATTAGCCATTAGAGAAATGCAAATCAAAACAACAAGATATCTTACTCCAGCATTAATAACAAAGTTCCATAAAATAGAAAACCACCAGTGCTAGCAAGGGTGTGGAGAGACTGGGACCCTCCTGTACTGCTGATGGGACTGTAAAATGTGCAACCACAATGGAAAACATTATGGTACTTTCTCAAAAAGTTGGAAATAGAAATACTGTATGATCCAGTAATCCCTTTACTTGGTATATAGCCTCAAGAAATAAAAGCTGTGACATGAGTAGATATATGCACATTTATGTTCATTGTGACACTTCATAATTGCATAATAATGGGGACAGCTTAAATGCCCATCAACAGAATGGTTAAACAAACTTTGGTAGGTATACACATGGAATATGACTCAACGTTGAAGAACAACAGAGAATCTACCCAACACCTCACAACATAGATGTACCTGGAGGACATTATGCTGAGTGAAATTAGTCAATCACTAAAGGACAAACATTGCATGAGACCACTATTATAAAAAGTTAAGAAGAAAAGATATTCTTGCTAAATGAAACATTCTGTGTTGGTTAAAGGTAGGGGGAGACAAGAAATAAAGTGAATAGAGATAAATACTGTTAATTGATGGTACATGGAGTGGATTGCAATCATTGTAATGACGTGAAATGAATGTGGGACTGATTATCTGTAAACTGTCACTCAATTCACAATAAAGAGTTAAGTAAATAAAATGATATACTGTGTTCATACATCTGTTGCACAAGACCTCTTTAAATTTGTTAAAGAGCAAAAATACCAGTTTAAGGACTAAAGTGCGATTGACTGAAGCCATGGTATTTTCAGTAACCTCATATGCATGCAAAAATTGGACATTGAATAAGGAAGACTGTAGAAGAATTGATGCAGTTGAGTTATGGTGTTGGAGGAGAATATTAAAAGTACCATGGACTGCCAAAAGAACAAACGAATCTGTGTTGGAAGAAGTACAGCCAGAATGCTCCTTAGAAACCAGGGTGACAAGACTTCATCTCTCATACTTCAGACATGTTATCAGGAGGGACCAGTCCCTGGAGAAGGGCATCATGAGGATTAGCGAAAATGAGATAGGAGAAGGGCAAGTAGAGGATTAGCGAAAACGAGGTAGACCCCCCAATAAGATAGATTGGCACAATAGCAGCCAGAGGGGACTCAAGTATAACAATTTTGAGGATGGTGCAGGACAGGGTAGTGTTTCATCCTGTTGTAATTGGAACTATGAGTCGGGATGGTTTGATGGCCCCTAACAACAACAGATCTGTTTTGGAAGAAGTGCAGCCAGAGTGCTCCTTAGAGGCCAAGATGGCCAAACTTTGTCTCTCATACTTTGGACATATTGTCAGGAGGGAACAGTCGCTGGAGAAGGACATCATGTTTAGTAAGATGGAAGGTCAGAGAAAAAGAGGAAGACGCCCCAACGAGATGGATTGGCCAAGGGGCAGCATCGATGGACTCAAGTGTGGCAACAGTAGTGAGGTTGGCCCTGGATTGGACATTGTTTCGTTCTGCTGTGCGGAAGGTCGCTATAAGTCGGTGCTGACTCGATGGCACCTGACAACAACAACAATAATTATGTGTCAGGTACTGTTCTAAGTATTATGTAAAAAACAATCATTTTGGAAAAATTAGAAAATGGAAACTATTTTAAGAAAGGAAAAGTCATTTATAAACCCATTCAAGCACTGTTAACAGTTTAGCTTATTTTCTTGAAGGTGTATTTATGAGAATCATGAATATACAGGTTGTTGTTTTTCTTTTTAAGTTAACTTTATAAGCACTTTTTCACGTATTTAGAGCTTTTTGTAAATATTTCTAATGCCTTATTATACACTGTGCTACAAATTCTCTTAATTATACCTCATCTTTGAATACTTAGATTATTTTCTATTTTTGCCCATATTAATAGTGTGATGAAAAGTATACACAATTCTTTTCCCACGTTGTAGATTATTTACTTTGGCTAGTTTCCTAAAGCGGAGCTGACTATGTCAAATGATAGACATGGTATCATTTCAAAGCTCTTGAGCCATGATACTGAATTACTCTTCTGAAAGGTTCCATCCACTTTCTAAGTTTCTTAATAGCATGGTGATTCTGTAGGCTATACACTGGACAGTGAATCACAGCTAGGTAGTTAAAGCCCATCAACTGCTCCATGAGAGAAAGATAAGGCTCTGCTCCTGCAGAGATTTACAGCTTTGGAAACTGCAGTGGTGGTATGAGTTGAAACCAACTCCGCAGTATTTGGCAACAACAACAACAGTGCATATTGTATAGTGTTCATTTACTAGCCTGCATATTGTATAGTGTTCATTTACTAGCCACCCACTGCCATGAGTTGATTCTGACTCTCATTGAGACCCTATATAGCAGAGTAGAACTGCTCTGTGGGGTTTCTGAGACTGTAAATCTTTATGCAGCAGAAAGCCTTATCTTATTCTTGTGGAGCAGCTGGTGGGTTCGAAATGCTGACCTGTCGGCTAGCAGCCCAATGTGTACCCAGGGTTCCTTTGTATTGAATATTATGATTTTCATTTTAATATGTTAATGTAAAATAATAAAGAAGACCGTAGAAGAATTTATACATTTGAGTTATGGTGTTGGAGGAAGATATTAAAAGCATCATGGACACCCAAAAGAATAAACAAGTCCAAATTGGAAGAAGTACAGCCAGACTACTCCTTAGAAGCCAGGATGGCCAGACTTCCTCTCTCATACTTTAGACATATTATCAGGAGGGACTAGTCCCTGGAGAAGAGTATCATGCTTGGTAAAGTGGAGGGTCAGCAAAAAAGAGAAAGACCCCTCCAATGAGATGGATTGGCACAGTGGCAGCAGCAGTGGGCTCAAGCATAGCAATGATTGTGAGGTTGGCTCAGTGTTTCGTTCTATTTTACGTAACGTCTCTATGAGTAGGTACCGACTCATCAGCCCCTAACAACAACAATTTTAAATAAGACAAGTACATTTTTGTGTGTGTGTGAATTAGTGGGTTTACATGGAAGAACATCAGTTTTACATTCATCCTATCGTATTTTGTTTCATTGCAATGATTACAATTCCCTCCATACATCATCAAACTTCCAAAGGGTACACCCCACAGGCCTGCCTCCCAGCCATCAGCACACAGCCCCTCTCCCTCCCTGAGTCCAGTGTCCTCGCTACATCTGTCTATGTCATCGTCTCTGCCTCCTTTTCTGGTGTCAGTGCTTCTCTGGGTAGGGTCCTACACTCTGCTCTTCTCACTTGATGGTCCCAAGGACCTCTGCTCCTGGACTGCAAAAGCAGTCAGTCCCCTCCTTTTATTACAAAATATCTACCTTTACATTTCTGACCCTCACAGTTAGTCCTCATAGCAATTATTCACTATTGAATCACAAGAAGGACAAGTACATTTTAATTTGTATTTATTTGATTGTCCCTTCTAAACCTAAAAATTCTTCTAAAGCTTCCAGTTTTTATTGACTCTTTAACTGGTGGTAGGACTCTTAACCATGGGTGTATGGAAAAGGAAGAATAGAGAATGGGATCAATTGTGTATCTTTTGTGTGTTTTGTTTAAGGTTGAACTGTTTATATCACAGAAGTCGGAAGGGAACTAGTATTATTGAGTGATCACTGTATGTCAGGCCCTGCTGCATCATATTGACCATAATGGCGTTGGGGTCATGTCTGACTCTCCCAGCCTCACAAGAGGGATTGAGGAAAATCAGCCTATGGGAAGGAAGTCAGACATGCATCCACTCGCCAATCTTTACCCTAGTCTGGTACCAACCAACTTCCCTGCTGGGCTAGATAAGCCATTGAAGTGACCACACAGAATTCACAGACAATACTCATAAAATTCATTAGGGAAGTTAATAGGGTAGAATTCAAGATCATTAACAACCCGGGATACAGCAATTCAGTCAGGAGTACCTCTTCTCAGCTGAACCACAAGCACACCGCTGTTTCTCAGTCATGTGTCCCCTTGGTCTCTGTCTCCTCCATGCAGATGTTACAAGCTTTTATTTAAGCACTGCAGATAAATGCCCAAAGGGCCTATTCTTCAAGCCAGTCTCCTGTCCAAAGCCACTCAGCCTTACTCAGTCTGTGGACTAGGAAGCCTGTCTTTGCTGTTGTCTTTGCCGCCGTTGCTTTTCTGCACACAGATCTCACACTCAGCTTGTGGCTCTTCTTGATGGTCCTGCAATCAACTGTTACTGCTTCTGGTCATTTAAAATCCAGCAGGATGGCACAACTAACCAATCCCAACATTAGAGTCCCATACATCCTGTTTGCATGGTCTCACCCAGTCATTTGGTGGGAGTTACAAGGACTATATATGGTAGCTGAACCATAATTCACTGTACTACAACACTGCAACTTCAGCCTGAATTCTGGCTGTAGCTGTTATAGTTTTTGATACTCACCTTTTATTTACTCAGAAACTCAAGTTTTATTTTTCCATTAAAAAAAAAAAATCTTTTTTTTTTTTTGAGGTGTGCTTCAGAATATTTGCTCTTTCCCTAATAACATGTTATGGGCTTGTTATCTTCCAGTGTTCTTAAAGAAATGTATCTTAATCCTGTCACACCTCTGATAATAACAGTATATTCCTATTTTAATTTGTATATATTTTGGGTTTTGTGGATGATGTATTGATTTTGTTCTCACTTTCTTCCCCTTTCTTTTTTAGTTATTTGAAGACTAGTATCATGCCTACTGAGACCTCCATGCTGGTCTGTGCTATTTCCATGCTTCCTTTGCCTCATTTCGATGAAGCAGTGATTTCCCGAATAGAAGCAGTTATGACACAGTGTGACCTCAGCAATCTGAATAATCTTGCCCTCTCTGTTTTAAGATGGATTCAGAATGATCACAGGTATTCGAATAGCATTAACGGGAGACAACTGAAACTGCTTCAAAACTTAGATCACTATGGACGTCTTAGGCTGCAAGAAAGTAACAATTTGAATCTGTTATGGGAGGAACTTAAATCTATAAAAGGAGACTGGTTCCTGGAGTCACTTCTTGAAGAAACAATGGCAGCTTTACAGCGGATGGTGAATGACATTAATTTCACAAATGTCGCGGGGATCGCGTCTTTCATTTCTAGAACTAACTACCTCAATACTGTGCTACTTGATAGGATAGCTTCAGTGGTCCTTCAACAGATTGAAAAGGTAAAATTTAAATGGGATGCATTAGTTTTATATGGTTGCCAACTTCTAGAAGCATCGTTTTTTTTTTTTTTTTTAATATGAAATTTGAGAATTTTGAATAGAATTTGAAGTTTAAAAATTAAACTGTTTTCTGGTTCTGGTTCAGCAAGGTTGTCCTCTTCCTTACACTGGCCCTTAAAGCCATTTTCTTTGCCTCAGCATTGCCACTTGAGGATAATTAACAATGATCCTTTGGGTCATTACAATACTGTCAAAGATCAGTGGTCAAAATTCATTGACTAGAGGAAAGTGCTTGCAAATTATAATAATTATATTAGGTTAGTGATGTCTGTTTTTCCTTCTTCTTATTTTCTTACCTTATTTTTCCTTTTTCTTATTTTCTATAGTCCTGTGATATTACTTTTATTATTTAAAAGCAACTTTATTTAAAGTGTAAGTATGAAAACTGAAAAAATGATATGGTATCCACCGACATTTAGTATCCTTATATTAATGCATCTTTTGGATTTATTTTTAGAACTTACTTGTAAAATGCTGCTTTTTGGAATTATGTGAGAAACAATTCACTTACAAAATCTCTGTTTTATATGTCAGATTTAGGCGTTTACTTATTAGATAGTATTTTCTTCACAAATGGAAAAAATCTGTCTTATTTGCTTAGCGAAATTCCTGGCAGCCATTAAGGGTTCTATGAATGAATGAATAATAAGAGAATGAGTGAGGAAAGAAAAATGAGTGCTGATGATTATAAATTGAAGTCCAGAAACATCCCTAATTAGATAATAATTTGGTTCTTTAAAAAGCACTAAGTATCTTCTTAGAAATAGGGATGCAGTTATTATTCATTTTAAAGACAAATGAAAATTAAGAACTGTTTAACCCTTAGAGAACTGGTTAAACTCCAGAGACTTTCTGCTGCTTTGCCTGTCGGGCGGGGGGAATGGGGAGTTAATAGATGTTACTGACTTTGCAATCATTCATCAACCATCGTAAGTTTTATTGCCTGTTAAAGTTTTCAGAAGCTAGGCTATCATTGCGGTGCCAGGCCCTTAAACGTGCCACGTGTCTTTGCTCTCATGTCAAGAATCACTGCACTGATAGGAATTGTTACCTTTTTTGCCCTGCCCACCATGTAAATCAACTGTCTAGGGATATTAGTCTCGCTCATATGATCCAAGAGTAAATAGATAAAGGCTTACAAAACAGACTAAATCCTTTAGAGAAAGGAAGATCGCTCAAGGGAAATAAGATTCAATATATCCAGTTTACACTCCCAGCTAAGGTTATTCACGATATAAGTAGATTTATGTTATTTTTCAGTAATCCAGAACTTGATTGGAACTTAATTCAACAGCATTTTAGGAGGTTGTGGAATAATATCCACTTGTCTGTGGATATCCATCAGCTACATGCTCAAATTTCTGATATAAGTAATTCTCAAGTTGAGCACTGAGTGGCTACTAATTTGCTACCCCTGCTAGAGATTAAGATCCCCTAAGAACTTGATTGAACCTCAGCATAGTGATCCTGCTTGGTCACCTTAGAGCAGGTGGTGGTCTGGCAACGTCTTGCGTATGGGGTCCCCAGCTGGTCTCCTCCCTCCCTGCCTTCTTCGGATGGCGGCTGCTTATGCTGGACGTGTGGCCAGAGACGGGTAAGGATCACATGGGACTTTGGCAACCTAAGAGAGAGCCATTGCCATGCTGCAATGAGTTTTGATGACAGGTAAGACAGAGGAATTCGCACTGACCGCCTAAGACAGGCAGCGTCCCTTAAACAAATAATAAATAAGGGGGAATCTGATGCAGACTGTGCAGACCTGGTCAGGAGTTCAAGTCCCTGTGGGCCCAAGTGTTGCAGACCGTCCAAACCATAGGCTCTGAGGATCAGACTTTAGCCACCTAGCAGACATAGCAAACTGTCCCTCATCTGATTATTCAGTTATGCTTGTTAGTAATCGCATACATGAGCCCTGGATATCCACAGATAAATGTAAAAACCTTCCCCAAAAGCCGAGACTGTAAATTCCAAAAAGGCAAAGTCCCACCCCCACCCCCCCCAAAAAAAAAAGCTAAAGAGGAGAGAAACACTTGTTAACTGATGATATATGGAGGGGATTATAATCAATGTAATGAAACAAGTCATATGAATGGTTGAATGTGAAACTGATGATGTGCCCTGTAAACTTTCACTCAATCCACAATAAAAACCTTAAAAAAAAAAAGACAAATGAATTTTAAAACAGGGTTTTAGATCTAACAAAGTGATTTGTAAATTGTCTGATTTTTTTTTTTTCTGTTAGTATTTTAGTATATATGCTACAGAAGTAAGCACTGTGTTACTACATTTAGAACTACTACTAATGAATAAGTGGGAGAAAGATGAGGCTTTCTACTCCCGTAAAGATTTACACCCTCGGAAACCCTGTACAGGGTCGCTATGGGTCGGAACTGACTCGACGACACTTAACAACAACAACAACTAATGAATAATGTAGTTAAATAGATTATAGCAATTGGGAAAATTAATCAATATACAAAATGACACATTCTTTATAGTCATCTATAAGCATGTTAAAGAAAAAAACAAAAAACAGACTACTACCTAAACTAGTAATTAGGTTTTAAATTGTGTTTTACTGATGTTTAAACTATAAACATTTTGTTCTGTTGATCCAGCTCCATCCGTTTTCCATCCTGGCAATTATTCTTCCATTCAGCACCTTAAACTATGATCCTCCTCAAAGGGATGAGTTCTTGGGAACTTGCATTCAACATCTTCATTCTCACCTAAGTATGTATATTGCTTGATAATTCATTGAATCAATATATCAGGGGATACTTGCTACTGGGCTAAGAGATCTCAAATGAACAGGTGGTTGTAATAGTATGATTTCTATACCTAATGAGTAAACATTTTTATTATAGAATATGTCAAACTTACAGAAAAGTGGAAAGGATAAAGCAAAGAGTACTCCCTGTGCATGCAGATTCAGTAATTAACATTTTATCATATTTGCTGTATTTGTTTCTGTCTTGCTTTCTGATTTTTTTTTTCTGAGCCATTCATTGTAAATTGTAGGCATATGACCCTTCACCCTTAATTACGTTAACATATGTATCCTAAGAATAATAGCATTCTCCTATAATGCTGTTATCACAGTTAAGAAAATTAATTATTCTCTAGTAGCGTAGTGGTTATGAATCAGGCTGCAAGCCGCAAGGTCAGCAGTTCGAAACTACTGCCTATTCTGCGGGAGAAAGATGAGGCTTTCTGCTCCTGTATAGATTTATGGCTTCGGAAATCCTATGTAGGGTCGCTATGAGTCAAAACTGACTCCATGGCACATAACAACAACAATATACAATATGGAGTCCTGGTGTGGCACTGTGGGTTAATGCGTCAGACTGCAAAGCCATTTGAACTTCAAGGTTCAAGTTCACCAGTCGCTCCTTGGAAACCCTATACAGCGTCGCTATGGGTTGGAACCGACTCAATGGCACTTAACAACAACAACAAAATATATAATATGGAGTCCTAGTGTGGTGCTGTGGCTTAATGCATCAGACTGCAAAGCCGTTTGAATTGTAAGATTGGCGGTTCAAGCTCACCAGCTGCTCCTCAGAAACCCTATACCAGGTTGCTATGGGTCAGAATCGACTCAACGGCACTTAACAACAACAACAATATATAATATACGGAGTCCTGGTGTGGTGTGGCAGGGTAAGCACTCCACCGTAAGGTCAGTTTAAACTGCACGGTCAGCAGTTCAACCTCATCAGCTTCTCCTCTGAAACGTTATGAGTCAGACCCTACTTGATGGCACTTAACAACAATAGATAATATGGAGTCCAGTTATGGCGCTATAGGCTAAGTACTGACTGCTAAGTACAAGGTCATCAGGTCAAACCCACCAGCCACTCTTTGGAAACCCTATACAGTGTTTCTATGAGTCAGAACCTACTCTACAGAATTTAACAACAACAATATATAATATGCAGCCCTTACTTAAGTCTTCCTAATTGTTCCCACAGTACTCTTAGTGGTTTGTGTTTATTTATTATTCTTTTAGCCTAGAATCTCATCAGGTTTCACTGATTGTGTTTGGGTGCTACTGTTTTTTCTTTGTTGTTGTTATTGTTGTTCTTATGTGCCATGGCGTCAGTTCCGACTCATAGTGACCCTGCATAGGGTTTCTGAGGCTGTAAATCTTTATGGGAGCAGAGAGTCTCATCTTTCTCCCATGGGACAGCTGGTAGTTTCGAACTGCTGACCTTGCGGCTCGCAGCCCGATTTGTAACCACTACGTTACCAGAGTTCCTTGTTGTTGTTATTAGGTGCCCTCAAGTCAGTTCTGACTCATAGTGACCCTGTGTACAACAGAGTGAAACACAATTCCTAAAGCTGCGCCACCCTCATAGTCGTACCTCTGCTTTTCCCATTGTTGTAGCCCTGTCTCTTTAGTCTCTTTCACTCATATTGTAGTCTCTTATGGAGTCCTTATGTGGAGCTATAGGATAAGCACTGGACTGCTAACCTCAAGGTTGGTGGTTCAAACCTACAAGCCACTCCTCAGAAACCCTATATAGAGTCGCTATGAGTTGGAAACGACTCGACAGCACTTAACAACAAACATCTGTGTGTTCTATCTAAAGGAGTCCTGGTGGCACAATCCTTATGTGCTCAGCTGCTAACCACAAGGTCTGTGGTGTGAATCCACTAGTGGCTCTGCTGGAGAAAAAACCTGCTGATCTACCCCCTTGGAGATTCTAGTTTAGGGAACGTTATGAGGTACTTCTACTCTAGCCTATAGAATTGGAAACAACACACAACGATAACAATGTTGTGTTTAGACTATACGGACCCTGGTGTGGCACTATAGCATGAGTACTAGACTGCTAACCTCCTAATTAGGGTCTCTGTGAGTTGGAACCGACTCTGCAGCACATACAATTTAGAATATATGTCTCTTTAGTCTCTTTTATGTCCCTCTTTTTTTTTCTCAGACGTTTAGTTATCAAACTTTTTCAAAATGTGGAAAATTCAAAGAACAGTATAACAGTCATCTGTGTGGTTGTTGTTGTTGTTGAGTGCCATGGAGTTGGTTCCAACCCATAACGACCCTGTAGAGGATTTCCAAGGAGTGACTGGTGAGCCTGAACTGCTAACCTTGCAGTTCAAACCAACTTTGCAGTCTAGTGCATTAACCCACAGCCCAAACCAGGACTGTGTGGTATATACCCACAATCCAGCTTTAATAATTATTAACATTTTGCCACATTTTATTTGTATGTGTGTGTGTGAGGAACCATTAGAAGAGTCACTTCTAAATTCAGGACTTTGGGTTACTACTAAGAAAATGACCAAGTCCCTATCCAATATGTTACCTAGTCTAGAATCCAATTTTACCAATGTCACTAAATTGTCTTTATAACATTTTAAAAAAGACAGCCACCAGCATTTGATTGCCATGTCACTTTCCTTCCTTTTGTTTTTGTTTTTTTCCTTGGCATTGACTTTTTATAGAGGATGTTGACCATGTATTATGGATTGTACCACATTCTGATTTTGTTTGTTTTCTTTGAACGTGCCTCTCTGCCACCTGCATTTCTGGTAAGCAGGTGCTGAGACTTGATTAGATTCAGACAGGATTTTTGACAAAAATTTCTTGTATTAGTGCTGTGTACCTTATATTTGTGACGTTGGCCTAGGATCGGGCAATGTTTCTTTCTGTTGTGCACTGGGTCGCAGGATGAGTCGGTACCGACTCGATGGTACCTAATAACAACAACAACCTTATATTTATATCACACCTGGAAACAAACTATTTGTTTCTGTCAATTTTTCTTTTGTGTGTGTGTGTGTATGAAGATTTATTTCTAGAGGTTTTTATGAGAATATGCACAGTAGATGCACATGTATATTTCCCTGTATAGCAGTGTTTGCTTGTACAGTTCAGTAGCATTGGTTACATTCTTCTTGCTGTCTCTCCTCATCTTCTTTCACTTTCATTTGACTTAGAATCACGATCCCGTAAACTACTCATCTGTGCTTTAGCTGCCTTAGCTGGATCTGATGCAGGTAACTCTTTGAAAGAGCTCAGTGCTTGACGTACACATTCTTTACTTATTCAGCTAAATGAAGTGCAGGGATAGTTTCAGTTCAGAGTTGAAAATTTTCTCCAGGCAAGAAATTTGAGGATTCCTCTAGCCTCGGTGAAGAAGCTCTGGTAGTGTAGTGTTTATGAGTTGGGATGCTATCGTCAAGGTCAACAATTTGAAACTACCAGATGTTCCATGGGAGAAAGATGAGGCTTTCTGCTCCTGTAAAGATTTATAGTCTAGGAAACCCTATACAGGGTCACTATGAGTCAGAATCGACTCCACAGCACACAACCACCACTGCTAACACTGGACCACAAGGTCATTTTGAACCCCAGGGTCAGTAGTTCAAACCCACCAGACACTCCTTGAAAACCCTATGCAAAGTTGCTATGCATTGGAACCGACTTCACAGCACTTAACAACAGTAGGCCTCTGGTCGGAGTTCTGTGGTAGGATAAGCACTGGACTGCTAACCATAAGTTTGGTGATTCTAACCCAGCAGCTGCTCCTTGGGAACCCTATAAAGGGCCACTATGAGTCAAAACCAACTCGATGGCACTTAAACAACAAAAATAACATAGGCCTCTGGTTAGTATAGTATGAAAAATAAATAGGCAAGTAAAAAGGGCAGTGTGTGTCTTTGCAGAAAGATGAAACTTGAAACTGACTCCAGATGTGCACTTCTGGTTGTTTAACAGTGTGTTAAGAACCAAAAGGAAATGCAAGTATATCTTTTCTCATGTTATGTAAATGGAGGCTTATGAACTTAACTAGTTGAGAAGTACAGCTTTGATCTTTTTAAAAAAAATTAATGAGAGAGTATTGGGGAAATTCTTAGAGGTCTTTATAAGTAAAAATTTAAATAACTAATGGCTTCATTTTTTTGATCCTGAATAAATACTAGTTTAGCTGGTGAAGATAGTCACTATTAACCTAGTTTATGACTTGATCTCAAAGATTTCATTTTACTTGGATCCACAATCAACACTCATGGAAGCAGTAGTCAAGAAAAAAAATGATGTATTAGGCAAATCTGCTGCAAAAGACTTCTTTGAAGTATTAACAGAGCAAAGATGTCACTTTGAGGACTAATGTGTGCCTGACCCAAGCCATGGTATTTTCAATAACCTCATATGCATGTGAAAGCTAGGCAATGAATAAGGAAGACCATAGAAGAATTGATGCATTTGAGTTATGATATTGCCAAGGAATTTCTGAAAGTACCGTAGACTGCCAGAAGAACAAATAGATTTGTGTTGGAAGAACTGCGCTAGCTTGTTGCTTGGAAGTGCGTTGGTGAGACTTTGTCTCTTACGCTTTGGACATGTTGTCAGGAGGGACCAGTTCCTAGAGAAGGACGTCATGCTTGTTAAAGTAGAGGCTCAACAACAAAGAGGAAGACTCTCAGTGAGATGGATTACCATAGTGGCAGCAACAGTGGGCTCAAACATAACAATTGTGAGGATATTGCCTGATCAGGCAGTGTTTTGTTCTATTGTGCAAAGGGTACTGTTTCAGTTTTTTGTACCTGAGGTTGCTATGAGTCGGAACCAACTCAGTGGCACCTAACAACAACATGGCTTCATCTTTGCTTTATTAACAAAAATCCAAAAGTGAAGATTTAATGTTATGTTTTCTTTGTAAGAATACTGCTGCTAAGACATTTTAGGTGACTCTTCTAGTGACACAGTGTGTTAAGCATTGGGTTGCTGACTGTAAGGTCGGCAGTTCAAACCCACCAGCCACTCCACAGGAGAAAGATGAGGCTATCTGTTTCCATAAAGAAACAGTCTTGGAAACCCTATAGAGCAGTTGTACTCTGTCCCGTATGGTCCCTATGAGTTAGAATTGACTTAGTAGCAATGGGTTCCTCTTTCCCTCATTAGAAATGTCTCTTTGCATAAAGGTAAATCCCATCAAATCTTATACTGAGGTACAACTACAATACTGACTAGAAGGGAAGAGGGGCTAGGCCAAGACTTGAACCTCAAGTATGTTTTCACTTAGCTTGGACATCTGAAATACTCAGAGAACAGCATGGTATAGAAGTTTGGACTCCAGAGTTGGACGCTGGAGGTTAAATCCTACCTTCCACTTACTGTGTGACCTTGGGCAACTGTGTCACTTCTCTGTGCCTCCACACACTCATATCTAAAACAGAGATAGTGATCATTCCTCCTGTATACTGAGATGAGATTTAATGAGGCAGTCTAGAATGGTCCTAAACACCTGTAGTCTAAAATGATACTAAACACCTGCTGGGCACTATTATTATCACCAGGACATAGAGCCGGGATCACTTCTCCTTCCTATATATAGCACTCTCCTTTGTTTTGAATTCTTTCTCTTTTCAAGACAATTTAAAAACACTTGGCATTGAAGTGTAGTGCAGAAGCATTCACATTTCCTAAACTGTATATTTGGAATTTGTACAAATGGAATTGGTACCCAGCCAGACCAAGAAACATGACCCTTCTCCCCTCGTCCCCTTTTCAGCTGATGCACCTCATCCAAATGTAACCACTTAACTACTGGTCTGATTGGTATACATTCGTTTTGTCAAGGCCATGTTTGTCATTTTTACAAAAACCTGGTTTTACCTGAACAAAGTATGTGTTTATGTATACCTGAGATTGTGTATGATAGAAATTAAAAAAAATTTTTAATCTTGTTTTAGGTACATTGGATCCTCTCATGTTAGTGTTTCTTAGTTTCTCTTTGTCTATCCTGGAATACTTTCCAGAAGATCTGATCAAGACAATATTTGACATCAAATTCTTATCCAAATTAGATTCTCAACTTGAACGTATGTATCCATATTTTAATCTATTAAATTATTAATTGTACTTTATATACAAATTTTAGGGCTAGTTATACTAAAGCATTGAAATATTAATAAAACTAATAATTTTCCTGTTTCTAAAAGTATTTCATGTGTATTATAGAAAAATTTGGAAAGTACAAATACATCTAAAATAGTAAATAAAAAATTGCTCATTATCTTAATCACCTAAGAGAAAACCACATTTTCTTTTCTGTATCTCCTTTTTTTACATGTAAGTTATGTATATATCTAAATCTATATTTTAAAGCAAAATTTGAATTTTTTATATTTACTTTTATATGCTCTTTTAAAAATTAACTGTATTGTGAACGATCTCCTATATATTTAAATATTTTGATGTAATTTTTTTATTGGTTACATAGTATGAGGGGGCAGTGCAGTGGCTGTGTATAATAAGCACTGGACTGCAAACCACAAGGTTGACCATTCGAGCACACCTGCCACTTTCTACTCCTATAAAGATTTACATCCTCAGAAACACTGTACCAAGTTGGAACTGACTTGGTGGCATTAACAGCAGCAGTATAATCTGAAGGGGCTTCAAAAAGTTAGTTGGAAAAATTTTGTTTTGGAATTCCATTTTTCTACAAACTTTTGGAAGCTCACCTGTATGCTCTTATACGAATGTAACAAAATTTTGTATCATGTAGGTTGTTCCCAATTCTTCACTACTTTAAATAATTAATTGTTACACATAAATTAGTTACCTCATCTTAGTCTGTTTCCTTAGGATTGATTCCTAAATGTAGAATATTTGTTGTTGTTATTATGTGCCGTGGAGTTGTTCCGACTCATAGCGACCCTATAGAGGGTTTCTGAGGTAGAATACCTTGTCAATGAAAAAAATTTTTTAATGTTTTTTGAAAATATGGTTTTAGTATTTGCAAAAATTGTGAAATTGGCCCAGGATCGGGCAGTGTTTTGTTCTGTTGTGCATACGGTCGCTAAGAGTTGGTACCGACTTGATGGCACCTAACAACAGCGGCAACAACAATTAAGGAATAGGATAATTCCTAGGGTAGTTATGAGTCGGAACTGACTCCACATCACATAACCACCACCACCACCATTAGTCCTAATAATACCATTAAATTCAAAGGATATATATATACAAATAAAATTAGTTTATGAGAATAAAAGGAACCACCAGTAATGGGGATAAATGAAGTGTGAAAACATGTGTTATCCTGTTAGGCCTAATCTTTAAAATCCATTAATATATTTTTTTTAATTTCAGTTTTACCTTCATCTCTAAATACAAGGGTCCAGCTTCGTCTTATGGAGTTAAATAGAGCAGTCTGCTTGGAATGCCCTGAGTTTCAGATTCCATGGTTTCATGACCGTTTCTGTCAACAACTGTATAATAGAGGTTTGAGTTTTCTTTGGTCAGATAGTAGAGTTTAATTGTGAAGTAAATGATTAGGTAATAATGTTAATAAATATCAACACAAGGCCAAATCTCCAAATGCAAAGATAATTCACTCCCCTGCTTTCCTACTTCTCCATCTTTGACACTCATGTGATACTTTCTTTCCCTTTCACCCTAACAACCGAACTTTAGGTTTTTACAAAACTGTCTACACATCTCACTTCTGTTCACCTGCCACCCAAGGCTGGTCTTCACAAGACAGCACTCTGCCCTAGTTAATGCCAAACAGGCAGACATCAGGTTCTGCTGGTTTTCACTATCCCTGGTGGGTTCAGTAATTTACTAGAATGATTCACTGAACGCCTAGAGACTACCTGATCACCTGTACACACAGTGACCCATTTATCAAAAGCAGAAAAGATAGAGTAGGAGACGGATCAGTTCAAAGTCTGGGAGAGGACCTAGCAGCAGGCTTCCATTGCCCCCTGGGTATAGCACCAGCTCTCATGAATAGATGTTCTCACTAAGCCAGGAAGACATAAAGAGACAGCTCCTAGGGTAGAGTCCATTGCCATTGCTACCTCAATAAATATGGATGAAATTAAATATGCTGGACTTAATGAATATTCATGAGCAACTGCATCTTGCCCCCGTCCTGAAATAAGTTGGCCAGATGTGGGATCCTGTAGCCCATACTTGCCTGGTTATTTTAGAAAGACAAAGAACATTTAGTTGCTCAGGCTTTTTTCAGAAAATAGATCCAAAAAGCCAAACTTAGTTCTTTGTTCTGCAGTAAAATCCATTATTGTCCAAACTCTTTAAGGCCTTAGAGTGCCATGACCTGGTTTAATGTAGATGCTATTTGTGTTATAAAAATTTCTTAGGACAAAAATCCTTCTTCTTAGGCACTGACCCTCTTTTGGTAGAGAGCAAAGAGCCTCTATTGAATTTAGTGTCATTACATTGAGTCTTGTTTATTATAATGAGATTTCAGATATAATATAAGAATGACTTTTTAACTCAGTGGTTGAAATAATTTGAGAAGCTAGTCTTCACTTCATACATTTTGGGTTGTTGGGGGGTGTAATTAACGTATTTTTAATGCATTTTATATGTATTTTTACAAACTATGCAGCCCCACTCCCTTGTTAGAGCACTATGTGGGTTATATGTGTGCATGTGTTATTTATGTGGACAATTTATGTGCAAAAAATATGGTAGTCATTAATTTTTAGTTTGTAAATTGGAGTGATTTTTATTCTAAAACTGGTAAATGTATTTTAAATTAACAAATTATTTTTATTCTCAAAGATTTTGGAAGCATGAGTGGAGTACAACAGCACATGTATAAAATGCTAGCAGAAATACTAGGAGGAATCGATTGTGTCAAAGCCTCAGTTCTAACACCTTATTACCACTTACTAGGTAAGTCATTGATAGGTTCCTAATACTTTCAAAAGACTGATGTGAATAGTATCATCTATTATAAGAGAAAAGAGAACTTACCTTCAGATATATAAATACTATTGTTGTTTTTGTCATTAAGTGCCATCAAGTCAGTTCCGATTCAGTGACCCTGTATAGGGATTCAAAGAAGTGGCTGGTGAGTTTAAACTGCTAACCTTGTGGTTCAAACCGACTTTGAGTGCTTATCCTACTGCGCCACACCAGGACTCTTTATTGAGTCTTAAACAGAAGTAAAAACTCAAGACAAAGACAAACCAGGTGAGGGAACTCATATACACCGTGATGATTTAGCAAAGGTCCACATCTATATGGTGACCTTTTATAAGTACAGAGAATAAAGGATTCTACTACAGTCAAGACTGACATCGCTACAGAAAGCAGGGAGGGGTGACCATTAAGGAGTATGCCCAGTAATGCTCCTGTGAATGCCAGCAGGGGGACGTCGCCCAAAGCCTACTTTTAAATATCCTCTGCTTCTAACTCTCTCAGAGGCGGATGAGGTACTCAAGAAAAATTGACATCTGAGTAATTCACAGGCAAAAAGCCTTCAGATTTCATGCTCTACAGCATCTCTTTGTTGTTGTTGTTGT